ATTACTATGACACTACAGGTCCTCCATATTTACAGGCCACTGTACAGTAAAAATTTATTACAGCTCAAATATTACATCACAAATTTGCACATATTTCATTATTTTTACAAAAGACAAAGCTCTGTAGCTAATCTATAAAATACAGCTGTTAAGTCAGTGAATGTGTTTCTCCCTTAGATAAAACAATGAAAAATGAGAGCTTTTAATGTCCATAAAAAATGTGCTCTCAGTGATTTACGAAATAAAAACCCCGATCAGTCCTTTGAGTCCCTTTGACAGTCCACATGCAGGTTTAGCTCCTCGAAGGCTGAGCCATCTCTTCATCTGTTGCCTCTGAAAAAATCCTCCGTTAATGGGAACTAGCTTATACGACGTATCCACAAACAGGCAGATCCAGTGATTTGAAGATGCTCTGCGTCTGTAACGACCTGCACTTCTCTGTCCTGTGCCTCTCGGACGTTTCAGTCGTTTGAAACAACTCGATAACCTGAGCGTGACCTCCTCAAACCTCAGGCACAAACACCAACAGCTCCAACAGCAACGTAAAAACTGGCATACCACAAAGGCAGAGTAGCGATGCGTGATGAAGGAATGTCCCTGAATGTTTGCACGTCTACAACTAAATGATCCACCCCCCCAAAAAGCATGACTTCTTTATTGTTCCACAGTCTTCAAAACAAAATATATATCCTGGTACAAAACAAAACACTACAAACAAAAAGAAAAAAGTAAACTGCCGACAAATCTGGGCAGTAAATCAAAAAAGTGCATTGCTTCAAGTATGTAAACAAAATGATTTCTTTAAAGGGAGAGTGAGACTCGTGTCGGTGTGCGTGAGCCTGGGCCAGTGCAGTGACTCCTGAGGTTTGGCACACATGTCTGAACTCGCGCGCGCGCGCGCGCGCGCGCACACACACACACACACACACACACACACACACACACACACACACACACACACACACACACACACACACACACACACACACACACACACAGTACATCACTCTCTCTCTCTCACACACACTCTCCTTCAGAGGATCAGGATGACGATGGGGGAAACTTCATTTTTCCACATAGTTTCTAAAGGGGTAGTCTGGTGCTCCCTGTTTGCAGTCAGCGCAGAGGAAGGAGGCTCTATGACCTGCAAAGACACACCCCTCCGTCAGCGCAGTCACATGGAGGTGTTGCAGTGGCTGCTGGGAAAACAGGGTGGAGCATGGAGGAGGAGGGTGAGTTTAGGATGGATGAAGAGGAAACGAATGAAACACAAAACAAGAAAGAACACAAATACAAAAGAATAAACATGTGAGGCAATCACACCCTACACTCACACCACACACAGACACAACACACGGATGCTGGAATGATGCACCGATCTGAAGACAGTGATCCTGATTGTGTTAGAATGAGGATCAGAGCTTCATGGGTTAAAATTAAAGTATAAAAATCTATGATTTTTGAAAAGAGAAAAGGAGCAAAGAAGGTTGATTAGTGAATTTTGCTTAAAGTGGTTTATTTTTTTCTTGAAGAGACAGACAACATGTTCATGTCTCAATCACTTTAGTTGCAAATAATCTTTTTTCTTGTCTTTCTGTGTCCACACAGTGTCTACTAAATTCTCACCTGAAATCTACAGACTAGCTGAGATAATTTAATGGTGAGACGTTGGACATTCAGCTGCAGATTTTCTTCTACAGATCAAACCCCACTATCATCCTGTGTAAAGATTTAAACTATTGCCAATCGAATCACTTTAAGACAAATACAAATACCAAACACCCACTGCCTCTATTCTCGTAAATGAAAGGTTTTGATTAAAATAAACAAGCAGTTTAGGACAACTTTAATTTGTTAATTAGTAACTAATTCCTGTAAAGTGACTAATTGATGATAAATCATTTTTGACTGGAGCCCAAAAAACAAGGTTATATTTCTCAAAGTAAGGGATCAACTATAGTTATGTTTACCTTCCATTATAGACAATCATATTAAAAGAATTGGTGCTTGTCCTTTTTACAGACACATTCCTATTCACCCGTACAATAAATGACTTGTTTTTGCTCTAGCACCACGTTTGACTTTGACTAATTTGCACTGAACTGGGATTGTGGATTTAACTGGAGCTGCATGTCCTCGATGACGACTGAAAATAAAATGTCTCTGCGCTCATTTGGTTTAACATTAACATTTAACATTAATTATGTGGAAATGAAATTGACTACAAACGATGGAAACAACAATCAGTGAGGACGGCAGCACAGGTTGTAGTTTGACGCAGACATTTGAAGGAAACACTGAATGACGACTCTGGACATGTTTACACTCACAGTGAGATCAGTTCTGCATAACAACATATGGAGAATTTGTATCAACTAGTTTTTAAATCATATTTCTATCTATTTGAATTTAATTAAAACTCACTCTGATCCTGATGAGTCTCCGTCCACCGTCCCCGCCTTGATGCTCATGGCGACACCGTTCAGCTTGTCAGGTAGGCTGGGTTTGGACAGGCCGCTTCGACCGTCACCGGAGTCTGATCCTGGTGGGGACGCCGTGCCGGGGGGATTTTCACACAGTTCGTTGTGGATGCGTTTGAGACTGTTCCTCTCTACGATAGGAGAAAGCTGCTTCTTCTTTAGGATCCCTGCAGTGGATTCAAAACAAGATACTTTGATGAGAACGGGTCAATAATCTGAAAAATGGCCACTTACCCATTTATTTAAAATCAAATATGGGATAATTAACTTGTGTAGTTCCACTTGTGGAGTGTGTGTGTTGAACTTCACCTCTGTGAGGGTGGGCGTTGAAGTTGTGCAGACTGGGCAGAAACATCGTCATGTTCTCCTGTGTTCGCTCATCTGATAACGCCCCTGCCTCGTGATTGGTTTCTATCTTGAGTCTGTCTGCACCAGCGAGCTCGCCGTCAGTCACTGCTGCGTAATCTCCAGGCCAGAACATCTTACTCAAACTGTTGTCTGGAAAACACAGAGACAAAGAACAGATGAAGTCCTGGAACATTTTAATGAATATGTCAATGCAAAACTGACTGTTATGTATTAATGTCATTTAAATGCTTAAGATGGGCTAACTGTCCACTTGTGTTAGGGAACAGATAGTGAATTGTGAAAAATAATAATATAACACTGTCCAGTTTTGTGCCACAGCTCCAGCAGTAAAGGATTTTATGTCCAACATCCATGTTCAGTTCCTGATTCAGTAAGGTGCACTTTTAAGTCATTCCTTGTCAAGCACATTGTGAAATTCAAAAAAACATTGAAAATGAATCAGATGACTAAATGAGAGGCAGGCACTCTGACGATCTAGCGTACCGTGTGGCTGAGGTCTCTTGGTCCCATTGGACGCCAGGTTTTCCCAGCATTCCTCTGGGGGGAGGGGACCCTCCTCGTCCTCGCTGTCAGACGAGTGCGTCGAGGCGTAGGAGCCGCTCTGATCATCCTCTAGAGACAGGTCACTGTCTGAGTCGCTGTCGCGATCTACGCAGAGCAAGTAGAGAGTTAATGCAGTGACGGCAGATGATGCAGGTCAAAGTGAATCAGAGACGATGAAAGAGGAAAATACCATCATGCACTTTAGTTTCATGGAAGAGTGACCCGTGGTCGTTCAGCGAGATGTGTGCCTGGCTGTTACTTAACCCATCGTCCCTGAAAAGACACAGAATTCAGTTCACAGCTGCTCCTGTCACCCTGCTGGGTAATGCTGCATATTGAAAACTTTTATTTTTTTATTTTTTTTACCGGAGCACAAACGGCACGTAGCTCTGCTGACTCTTGCCGCTCTGCATTGTGCCGTTCAGAGACACACTGGAGTCTCCAAAGGGAAGATGGTACAACCTCCCATCCATGTAGTTGGTGTTGCATTTGTAGCCCTGAGGAAACAGAGATGAGGAATGTGTTACATTAAATGATTATTATACCGGATGAACAGGTTGTATATTGATTCTGCTTGTTAGAGTTAATGGTAACAGAAGAGCGCTGATTGCGATGTTTTAAGGATAAATTTGATCATGTCTTCTTAACTTCCCTATCGTAGGTCATCAGCGTTTAAAATAAATGAACACCTGTTTGTGAAACTGCATCACTAATAAATGCAAAATAAAATAAATAAGTAAATCTGAATATTTTACAAAATCATCTGCCTGAATTTATTATATATTTGGTTTTCAAGTTGATCAAATTAGACACAATTAGAAAATCCAAGTGTGCATGTTTTCTGAGTCACTAATCTGAACTCGAGTCACTAATCAAAAGCAGTAATTACATTTTACTTGTGTTGTTCCCCTATTAAAAGTCCACTGGTTCATCATTGAGACATAAATCTTTATAAACAGCTCAGACATACACAGTTTACACAATTTAAATTTGGAAAATAACATTTTTCAGAAAGAGAATTTACTGTATATTTAGTAACTACTCTCAGTTGCAGAGTTTATGCTCCTTGTTGTTTCAGGACAAGAATGGAGGAATAAGATTTATCACATTCACAACTCTTTAATAATAAGTTAGGTCATAGTTAATGATTGATAATAATAACAAAATAATTGTCTTTTTAGTGATGTATTGACAGTAAAAATTTGATTGATATATAGTTTGACCCATTTCATACTGTTTTATAACAATGTAAATAAACCATCAGCTCATACAGATAATTAACAGCTGACAGTTTTTAAGGTTTGGAGAACACATGTCATAAGTATACGTGTGTGTGTGTGTATATGTGTGTGTCCCTCCCTCTCACAGTAGCGTCAGTGTTTTCAGAGAAGTTCCTGTCATGTGACTGAGTGGAGCGCTACGTCCCAGAGGCGTCACACTGAACAAAGTATTTTCTCAACATGCAGCAGTGGACTCACAGAGGCCTTGGATTTGATCATATGATCCGGGCGCTTGCGGCTGCAGCAGTATTTCATGGCATTCCTCGCTTCCTTGTTGAAGACGATGCGGAAGAAGAACACAAAGGGACCCTGGGATTGGACGACAGAGAAGAGAGGAGGCGGTCAGGACAAAAGACGAAGATCTCCTCCAGCTGTTTCAGTGGGGAAGCGAACCCCTCACCTGCACACAGTTGAACCCAGCGAACAGGTAGTGGAAGATGATCATGTCGCTGTTGACGGACAGGAGAGCCAGGAAACACGTGACTGACACCAGGAGGAGGACGCCACCTGCGGTCTTCAGGCCCGAGCTGCCGAATATGAGTCACGTGAGAGGGAACACAGAGGGAAGTTAGCGAGGAGCAGTCGGGACCATTTCTATGCATTCACGATGGAAGCAGGTGGTGAGAATGCATCGAAACTGATATCAGGGGTACAGTGAAAATAGGCAGAGAGAAACATTGCAGCACATTGTTTGTTCCATGAGAAGCTGTGACCGGGAAGCTGGGAACACGTCAATGACACAACTGGTGGAAGTTACAGAGTCCAGCATTTGAAATACTTATAATGTCTTCAAATATAAATAAGAATTCAAAAATGTAACTTTAAACTCTGTACTCATACAATATCTAGTTAGTTATAATAAAATGTTCAGTTGAGAGTCCTCTCATATCCCTTCATATTTCAAACAAACATACTCAACACTGTGGTGGAGTATTGGGGCCGTGTTGAAGAAAATAAATATATAGAATAAAGAAAAAAGTCATAATATTGGTGAAATTGTAAGAAAATGTTTATTCTCATACAATAACATATTCTTTTAATATTCTGACTTTGTTCTTGAAATCTTAATCTTCAACATGGTCTTATGTCGTACAAGACTGATGCTACTCGGCAGAGATTTGTTTCCTGTGTTTTTAGCTCTTTCAGCCTCTGTAATATCAGCCCAAGCTTCTGTACACAAGCCACACACAGAGAAATCATGGATAGTAGCATCATATTCTTCATATAAATAAATAAAATGAATAAATACTTTGACAGTGAGAGAATGCTCAACACCAACAGGCCTCCCCTGCCTGAGTATCACTTGTGAATTGTGAAAGGGACTAAATGAAGCAGACAGATGTTGGTGTTTGTTTGATGAAAACTTTGGGACACTCACACACGTGGCTCCTTCTTCTCAATGCTGTGATGTCTCGGAGAGCAGGAGGCTCTGGACGACAGGATGTACAAGAAGATGTTCATCTGTGGAGGAAACATCAAACTGTGTCAGTGCTAACAACAGAGCAGGACGACGTGAACATCAGATTCATCTCTGTCAGATTATCATTTCATTTATGGTTGACCTTAAATAAATGCTGACAGCAATTCAAGTAAATAGTGACGGCTGTGTTCACTGTAACATCTAGTGACTCTCTGACAATTATCCTGAGTCAGTCTGATGTCTGATGTCATATGATGTAAAAAGTATGTGAAGTAAATAGACGACACACTCCACAGTTTGACGGTAGGTGTGTGCAGGGACTCACCGACACCACCATGGCAATGGGTCCAGCAAAGCTCCAGATGAGAGTGTCGTACATCGACAACCAACAGAAGTCTGGGTTCCCGTAGCCTTCGGGGTCCAGTCCCACCGCCAAGCCTGTAGACACAGAACCAGGGGAGCACCGAACTCTTCATCAATCAATTTGTCACTCGTGTTTAAAATAATAAAGTGTGTGAATGAGCAGCATGTTTTCTCTCTGGGAACATTGGTGTGATGTGTGATATATGTAATGAAAGGATTTCAGACCTGTGACAAAGGCAGGGACTCCCCAGCCGATCAGGTAGTAAAATCTCATGGGTCCATAGTTGATGTCTCGCACCTCGCTGATCATGCGGTAGACGTGCAGCCCCTCCAGGAAGAGCCAGGAGAACGTGCAGAGGTAGAAGAAGTGCAGCAGGATGGCGATGACTGTACACAAGAACTGCAGGGAGACAAGAGGGGGGAAGATTAAAGCACTGAGAGAGGGCAGGGGACATAGTGGAGTAAGTGATTGGTTACCAGGTTGTCGGCCTGGTTGATGCCCAGGATGAAGATAAGCTCAGAGAGGAAGAGTGCGGTGGTTCCATTGTTGATGATACTTGTCTTGTTGCACTGCATGGCTCTCAGACACAGGAGGAAGACATTGGTGAGGAAGAGGAATCCCAGCGTCACGCCCACTGTGCTCCACGTCAGGATTTTGATTGGCAGGATTTCTCCGTTCTGACACAAACGATAAGGAGAAAAAAAGTTGAGTTTTTTTACAGAGAGAAGAAAAACAGTGAAGATACAGACAGATCGGGTAAAACTCACTTCTCTCCTGGAGACGTCCATGAGCACAGCAAAGCTGGTCATGTGATAACACTGACAGCTGATGTGGGTACTGTTTCTGAAAACCACCTCGCAGCCCTTCGCTGACCAGCCACCGTTTCCAGCACTGAGGACCAGAGGACAACGTGAGACAAGATTCATCACTATCTGTGTGTGTGTGTGTGTGTGTGTGTGTGTGTGTTGTACTCACAGGATGCTGTGATTCCAGAAGACACAGATGGGTTTGGAGCGCTCCTCAGTGGCGACCAGACGGAACTGCACGGTGATGGGTTTGTCCAGTGCGTGCTGCAGCAGCTCGTCGTTGTCGTGCACCGTGATACTCACCACCGGTGTGTTGATGACCGGACGCTTTGGAACTCTGAGGCATATACAAAAAAGCAGAGGATTTCAAAAGGTGAAAATATAAATCATTGAAAACTCAGCTGAACACTCCAATTTTACATTTTTTCATAAATCTGTACTTTTCAAGTAGATTTCTTTTCAGGTACTTTTCACTTTTACTCCACCTTCACTTTTACTTTTAATAA